TCTGTGCCTAGAGAACTTTAAAGCATAGGCTCGGAAATGATGCCTGGGCTCACCGTGTCCAGTCCTCTACCACTGCTGGCCCCATAGCATACAGCTTTTCTGTGTATTTCTCAGATGTTGCCACAGAATTGTCTGGTCTCTGATTTGAATGCGTTAAGCTTGTTCAGCTCTGCTTATACATCAGTAGATAGCTGTCCTACTTTTTTTGTTCATACCACCTATTGTGTGTTTCCCCCTTTCCTCAGCAATGTCATTCATGCTGAAAACTGAGCTAGATTCTAAAAGTACTTTTTAAAGTTTATTTTTTTTTGGATTGCATCTGACTTATCTATTGCATTCACCCGAAAGGAAGCCCCACTTTCCCTTCGCTCTCTCTTTCATGTTTGTGAAAATCCTTTTTCGTATCTGTTTTGACATCAGGAAAGGGAAATTTGTGAGACTTTTGGCATCTGTAGGATATACAGGGAGAGGTAAGCATGTTAACTGTCTGATATCTCTGCTGTTTCCCATAGTCCTCATTAAAGGAAGAAAGGTGCAGAGCAAATTCTTGATCCTACTGTTCAGAGATGGTTATATGATTATCACCGGGAAAGAACAGTTCACAGTTAAGTTCTGAATTTGGATCAGATGAAAATAAAATAATATAAAATTTGGATTTTGATGCATTTCTTTCAGAGGCCAGACTCTCCTCCTGATGAACTGCCCTGGTTTTCTTCAGGGACACAACTTGTATCTGACTAGAAACTGTCTCTTTCGCATTAATTGGGAGTTTCTGCTTCTTAGAGTTATTGAGCTCTGGAACCAAAAGTCTTGACTGAGACCTGAAAGAGGACAGAGGATACAGGGCTTGCCACTGGGTAAGGGGATGGTGGTGGTAGCACCAGCTATGGGTTTGGATAGCAGGCCATTCTGGAAGAGGTGGTATCCTCCTGTGGGGATAATGGCATCCCTCTTAGTGGGATTCAGAGGAAGGTGGTGTTGCAGGTATTTCTGAAGTCTGGATTCTCTTTCTTCATGGTGCAGAACATAAACCACAGATACTACAGTAGCCATATGGGTGTCAGGGGTGCTCTGATCTGCACCTTGGTGTTCTGTGAGCAAAAAAATTCTAAGCTCGGGTATGCGCTATGAGGTGTACATCCATCCTCCAAAACGCATGTGGGCAATCATTCTCAAACAGGCAGAGGGTACAGTTCATCTGAGTTGAGCATATTTAGAGAGGGTACTAGTTATAAAAGCATTAACCTGGGCCTGATTTATGGCTGGTAAGACTGCAGTGTGTATTGGCATGTGGTATAATTAACTTTTGGTTATTTAATCAAATAATGTGGTAGTGAAAGCAGGATTGGCCAGCATTGCTCTCCAAATGACAAAAGCAATATTAAGCTTTGTAGTGCTCCCACAAGACTGCAAATGCTGAAAAAGCAGCTGTGGCAATCAGTGGAGACACAACTGTAGGGTATTTCTTCTATAGCTGACAGGTGCTTGGCTGGAAGGCACCATAAGCTGAGTTTGTGTCCTTATGCTCAGGCTTATAAAAATGCGGGATATTCTCTTCTCTTCTTTTTTTCTTAAAATAAAAAAGGATTTCAAGGAACTCAATCTCTGTTCGATGGTACTGTTCCCTAACACCAGTCTCCCAAACACTTCCTGATGCTTTAGATATAGGATACCAGATTCCACCAGCAGTGTCTTCGGAGCTGGGGGGACATAGCGATGAAGCTGTTTTCCTTGGCTGAGATTTTTCAGTTCTCACCTTGCTGAGTGGGAAATTCTGTCTAAAAAATCAGCATGGAACAATGCAGGATTTGAGCTCTCATTTTCTTATTTTAAAGGAGGAAGTTTAGTGGTATTTGCTGTTCACTTCTGATGTTGTTGAATAAACTAATGACTATGTCGCTGAGTCTGAAATCTAAATCAAAACCTTGTGTCAAACTGTGTCTCTAAATGGGCCTGAAACAAATTCTGGAGCTCTTGCACACCTTTACCTAAAGAATTACCTTGCCAAATGTCTAAAATGAATTGCAGGCATTTCCATTTACTCACCCTACTCCTCTATCCCTACTTACAGAGATAACTTCTCTAAATACCTCCTGTTTTGTCAAAAAGTGCTGCTTTTCTACTGCACACCTCCTATTTTTATGGTTGGTGCATTCCAGGGAGATGAAAATGCATTTATTTTCTCAAAAGACTTATTTGCAACTTCCAAAGAGTGCTACCTGTCCTTCCACTTCTTTCAAAGGCATAGTTAAAGAATTGGAAGAAACAGCAAAATTGAAGAAAATCAGGCTCACAGTATTTAAAAGCACGTGTAGAGACTTGCTCTGTAATTACATACTCTTTTCTAACAATTAAACATAAAGCTAGCTGTTGCTTTGTTGTGTTGGTTTGGGATAAAACCACATTGGCTAACAGCTGCTTTAAAAATTCCTTTAAGAACCCCCTGTAGTTAAATTTTTCCAGCTAAACTCTTTTAGTTTGGGGATGAAGAAGGTGCAGGAAGCTAACTAAGCGCCCACTGGTTAATAAAACTATAGGAACTTTCTATAGCCCATTGGACTACAGAGTGTTTTATGATCTGCATAACAGTCAAGGCTTTTTTTAAGCTCAGCTTAAACAAACACTTAACAATTCAAGGTAAAAGCACTGTGATGGTGATAAAAGAGATTTTAGTTTGACATTTTAACCCTAAAGTAAGGTTAGGACTTCAGATAGTGAGAACTGATATATCTCTGGTGCTCTCAAGAGGGTTTGTTTGCAGGACCTTGTTCCCTCCCCGATACTTGTCCTGATACCTACTTAGGCTCCTGGTTACCCCATTCCCACCTGTGTCCCTGCACCAGCTCTCACACTGCATCCCAGGAGCGGCTCCCACACTTTTCCAGCTCCAAACCTGGCCAGGTGAGTCAAACCTGCCCCTGCTGCTAAGGCCTCACCTCACAGCCTTGTGCTCACTGCTTAAGATACAAATGATTGGTGCGGTGGTTTTCATATAACAACTTAATAGTTCTAATACTTGTCTCAGAAGTGGTCGAACATGGGTTTGGGTCCTTCTTCTCCCAAGGGATATTCAAATCCACCTGTCCCTTCCCAGGCTGTAGGCAACCTCTCAGCCCTTCCTATTGAAGTTGTGCCACGGTGCGGAGAAGGATTTGCAGAGCCGGAGAGGAGAAGCAAGTGGGAGCCTGACTGTGGCGTACCGACTGGGACCTCCCCTGAACGGTGGTGGGGAGCAGGTATCTGGCAGCATTCCCGAGGCTGCTGACTACAAGCTTTGCATTAAAACATCAAAACCAGCCCTGGAGGCAGAGTCCAAACCCAGCACCCATCTCCATAGGGAGAGGTTGCAACCACCTTGCCCTGGCAGCGGGTGCTGTTTTCGTGCCACCCCAACCACTCCCTCTTCCTCCAGCCACGTCTTTAAATGGAAACTGCTCCGGTGTACTGATACCAGAGCTGTGTTGAGGAGCGTTAGATGTGCTCACAGCTTCCCAACACAAGTGTGCCTTCACAGGTGTCAGTGCTAACAGGTTCAGCTTGGCCAAAATGGTTGGATCTCAGCATGGAGGAAGAAAAGCTTGAGGTACCCAAATACCTTCTTTTGGAGAAAAAAGGGGTTCCTGCGGGGTGTTAGGCGCCTAATCAGTTACGTTCTTGGAGGAGGGGAGAGGTCATGGCTCATTTAGCTCTGTCTTAAACTCGAAGATCGTTTCTGTTGTGATACTCTTTAGGTGTTAGGTGCTTCTGCGGCTTTGAGGACCTCACCTTAAGTGAATTGAGACCGTGTTTCATTTTGAGATGTGACTGAAGGATGCACAAAGCTGACTCCAACTCTGGAGCATCCATTTCTCATTTGAAAGTTACTTCAGCTCCACAGTTGTTTAGAAACTTTTGAAATGTTTCCTCTTGGAACAGGCTCTGGCTTCTCCTTGTGCAAAATAGAGATAACAATACCTACAGGGCAAAGTGTGGTTCTCTGAGGGGACACATGCTGAGCACTCGCAATTAACTTACTAATAGAAGAGTTGGGCAGATAAAGAGAGAAGCTGGGGGAAAATTACATCCACTGGTGGCCTGGGTGAGGCTGGGATGTGTTTTAAAGAGGCACTTTGGCTGGCAGCGGCAAGATGTGTGAATGAGGATGTTTGTCATATTCTTGTGGCTTAAGATGAGTAGGAATAAGGTTATTGAAGGCTTATGGGCTGATTCAAGTCATTTATGATGGGACCGTATAGCACATGGGATATGTTTGTGCTGTTTGCAAGGCTAGAGTCTGCAAACTGAACTAACCCCTCCTCACCAGGCCTTTACCAGATAACCCTGGCTAAGCACAGCTGACCTTCCTCCTCCTCTGCAACAAAATGTCTCCTGACTCCCCTTCCCACACGGTTCCTTCTTCTGCCAGACTCTCTCTTCCCCAGACACCAAGTTCTGCTCCGGGCCGGTGATGTGCTGTGAGGACTCCTGCGCTGACTTCAAGGCTCATGGAGGATCTTCCATTCCTAGGCCAGCAGGTACCGGAGGTTTTCTTCCACACCATAAACCCCCAAGCCCCAACCAGTGCAGGTTTGTGTACTGAGCCTCCTTCTGCTCCGCTTCTGGAAAGCTGGGCATGGGAACGGGGAGGTTTCAGGGCTGCCATTTCCCAGTGTGGAGCTGCTGTGCTGTCTTCTCTTCAGGCAGAGGAGCTCGAGTCAGGCACTGTGTCAGCTCCTTGTAAGGAGCCGCTTCTCAGGTCTGTACCCTGGGGACAGAGGAGTCCATGTTACAACACCTGTTTTCTGTGGTGATTCTGATTTGGGGTTTTATGGGGTTTAACTGACCGGTGCTTTATCCTTGAACCCATTTTCTTTCTTCTCTGAGAGTGCTGCGTGACTGGGCCATTCTGAAGTGTTAGCAGGAGGCTGGCAGGGGTGTGTTTTAAAATATGTTGACTTTTAGCGTTTCTTCACTGTTTAGAGTTCAAAAACCTCTCATGTCTCATGGTATAGATGCCTTCTTACAATCCCATACTGGACTGGCAGTTGCTCTCATTGTCTCCACCGAGCTTTTACACACGGAATTTTCCAATGAGACTGTTGCTTAAAGACAGACAAAATAAGTGCTCTTTTAGGTGTTTCTTATGTAAAACTACAGCGCAGAGCAGAACATCTTGTGGCATCCAGGCAGGATTCTAATTTTTAGCAGTCTTGGATTCCTCCCGAGATGGTGCAGTCTGTAGGGACATGCAATGCCTGTCTGCAGGTTTGGAGGGGAATACAGGGCTCTTGCACTTCCTGAGGGTTAACCTGCATGCAGAGAACTGTCCCTGGGCTCTACAGTGAGGAGATGGCCTGGCCTTCCTTCAGCTATCCCTTCCTCTTCTCTTCCAAGGCTTCTGTTAGAATAATTGCTATTAGAAATCAACCAGGTAAAATAATGTGTGTGTACATGTATGTGTGTGTGTGTGTGTGTATAAAAAAAATGAAAAAGCATGTGTGTATATATGTGTACGTATAAACAGGCAGCAGCAGAGATGTTTGCTCTCTAACAATAATTATCACAAATGTAAATGAGAACCTTATTCACAAGGTTAATTTACAAATTAAGGGAATTCATGAAGAATAGGGCATTTGGAATTGAGAGAAAGAGTTGATTTTTCACCATTTCTAAGTGCACTGCAATTGTATCATGTTAACAATCTAAAACAAAGCTGGTCTTGCTTTCCCATATTGTAGCATGTCAGAAGTAGTGGGAAGCATCTAAACTGTCTTAAAAGCGAGAGTGGTTCCAGAAACTTGGACTGATAACTCACACCACCAGTAATATTTTAAATGCTTAGATGAGAACTGGCATGTGATCCCTGCCTGAGGGAGTTCTCATTTGTAAGGTAAAAACAACATAGGGAAACAGAGTGGAATAGAGCACAATAATATTTAGAAAACATTTACAGCTATAAAATGCATAAAATACTCCCCAAATATTCCCAGTAGTTGTGGTGACTTATGTTCAGGATTCTCTTCTGCCTTTAGAGTGGAAGAAACCTGAAAATGTCTATTCCTGTCAAAGCAAACACTGATATATCTGATCCTGCTTTTGTGACTATGAATTTTATTAGTGAGTGGAGTGTCTGGTTCTGACATTTCAGGGGGTGTTTTCTGTTGCTTCAAAACCTTTTTGGGCCTTTCTTTCAGCTTTCATCTCTAGTTAAATGGCTCCATATATCCCTGCAAGGCACTGCAGAAAGAAGCATGTTAAGTTTTCGTCTGGGGGTCTGCCATGACCCAGCATTATGGCTTTCTACCCAGGGGCTGGTGGAAGTCTGGATGTCAGTTGTCGTTATATGATAGCCATGTACAATACCCAGAGAGGCACCGTGTGGATCAGAGGTCAGGGATGGAGCTGCAGATCAGTTGATGAAAGAATTTTGTTGTTGTGGAAACAGGTTAAAGCAGGGACCAATGTGAGTTACAGTAGCTGGGTTTTGGCTGGGTCTCATGTTATTCTCCAGATTTCAGGAGGCAGAGAAGATCAGAGTTGATCAGGAATATTTCATGTAATGTCAAACAGCTCTTGTCAGGTTTGCTCCTTTGTTTTCAGAAAGGCAGGGTGATGTTTTGGAAACCGTTTACTATCATGGCATTGCTAGGCTGGTTTTACAGACAGAAGACACAGAGAAGGTTTTGTCTTGTCCCATTTATCGAGGATGTCCCAAATCCCTGTTTTCCAGGTGTGTGTTGGGCTGTCCAACCACTCCAGCTTGTGTGTTCAGTGGTCTTGCCAGATCAGCACTTCACTGAAGTTCTCCATAATGTATTCACAAAAAGTGATAAAACATTCCATGCGAGGCCTCAAGGAATGATTAGTTTAATCTTCAATTAGTTCCCGCTGAGACTTGATGAGAAATCATTTGAAAAGGTATGCATGAGTTTTAATACTGTCTGCCTGTCTGGTTATCAGGAAGCACAGTGTGCAGAGAGGGAAGATGTTGCAAATGGGAAAAAACAGGACACTAGCACTGAATATTTTAGACTGCTGCCTGTGGTTTTTGGTTTACTTGAGTGGCTTTAGCCAGTGGGTTTTGCTACAGGGCATTAAGGACAGCGTGGGGAGGTCAGTGCAAACAGTGTGTTCAAGCATTCAAGCCATCACTGTTGGGTTAAGGCTGCAGTGTGTTAGCTAGCAGAGAATATTTTCATTTACATGGCTAGTGGGGCGCTGACAAGAAGTAGTCATACTTGTGCTTGTTGCTTTCTGTTTGCGCAGCAAATGAAAAACACTGGCCACTTCAATGAAAAAGAATGAGATACTGTGTTGTGAACTGGCTTGGGTTTTTAAAATGGTTTTGGGTTGTTTCTTTGCAATTAGATAGTGGTTCCTTGTTGCTTTCTGCAGAAGGTCTCTGGTCCCACAGTCATTAAAACTGTTTTATATAACCAATAAATCCCAGCCTGCTGAGGAATTGAAGATTTGGTTAGAACATGTGGATCCAGAAGTGCTCTTTCTGGCTATGCAGAAACCTGTCAACTGAACAGTTAGGAATGAAGCAGAATAAGAATTCCCTATCACCATTCACATCTGCTATGGATTCCATTCAGACAGCTTGTCTGTACTTGCTTTTCACACCGAATGTCTCTCCAGTTCTGTGGGTTTAGTTGTGCATCCAAGGAAATTGAGATTGGACATTAGGAAAAGGTTTTTCCCTGGGAAGGTGGTCAATCACTGGAACAGGTTGCCAGGGACATGCTCATGGCACCAAACCTGACAGAGTTCAAGGAGTATTTAGATGACAGTCTTACTTATATGGTTTAGTTGTAGGTAGTGTTCCAAGGAGCAAGGAGTTGGAGTGCATGATCCTTATGGGTTCCTTCCAGTCTGAGATATTATATGAGTACCCACATTGAGGTGATTATTTACAGGCAAGCAAATCACACTGCTTTTCGCTGCACAGATCTACACTTACTCAGGGCACATCCTTTAGTTTACAACACTGAAGGCCACATTGAATGAAAAGCACTGGCAAGGATTTTAAAAACACTGTTGGTACCGGGCAGCTGGTGCCAGACATGGAAAAGTTTGCATCCAAAAGTGTTTAGTGGGTGTGCATTAGTTCAGGAGAGTTTATGAAAGGAGGCAGAGGGACTTCCTCAGGTTGGCCAGAATGCTGCTGCATGCGATGGCTAGAGAATGTTTCTTTGCTTTGTGGGCTGATGGGTTTGCTGGCAGTATTTCACTGAGGCCGAGAGGAAACTAAGACACACTCTTTGGCTTAGTGATAGCTGAAGCAATAGAAGTTAATGTCTGGATCGGAAGAACACGCTAAGGCTGGCATATAAACTGATCCCTGGTGGCTGGGGAGTGGTTGGAGCAGATCTGTGTTTGATAAACAGCAGGGAGCCATGGAGAGGGAAAAACAGCTGGAAAAAGCCAGGAGTCAGTGAGGAACCTAAAAGCAATTGCAGTACAGGCTTATGGTGAAGGCAGCAAGGGGAGATCCCAGGACAGAAGGCTGGCTGGAGACAGCATGTTTGGATGTGAGAGGGGGAAATGACCTCTTCTGGCTGCCCCTAGGATGTCCAGGGAACATGACTGCGTGCTGTAAACCAAGAGGAATCACAGGACCCCAAATACTGGCAATCCACTTTGTGTTAAAAGGGGCAACATTATATGCATATTGCAGTAAACCTTCCTACGTTGAGATGGGTCATCCTCTTGCCTAGCGCAAGCCATGAGAGCTAACGCTTAAGTTCCCAATACTGTGTTTGTCTTGGAGCTGCAGCTTGGTGTCCTGGTAGCTGAAGAATTTGTGTGGATCATCAGCGCAAAGAAAGAACCAAGCAGGACTTCACAGGCCCTGTCAGTAGCTCTCTGTTGGGTTACTACACTTCCCTGAAAGACTCTGAGCATGGAATTGGGAATATAGTCAAGACCAACTGCAACCTACTGTGTGATACTTCCAGTTTAGTCCTTCGAAAGCCATACGTGTTTCCTGTACAAGGAAACATACAGATGCTGTGGGATGGCTGACACTGCTGGCAGCCTGTCCCAGAAACAGCAGCTACCTCTTGTACAGTCTCAACTTCCATTAGCAACCACTTAAGCAGATAAGCTCTCTGGCTATCACAGCGGTGCTGGTGAATTTGGTTTTACTTATCTTTTTGGCAGCTCTTAGGTCAGGCAGTCTTTTACGACATCATCTGAACTTTATAGATTGCAACACTTCTCTCAAATTTCCATTCCCAAGGCTGCCTTGCAGTAATACCCAAAGCACCATTTACATTTTAGCATTCAAATCTTTCATGAACTGATATGAAAGTCTCCTGCGCCCTAAATATTTTATCTGAAATATTTTTTCATCTTGTAAATTTTCCTCTGTGGGGATGGAGAGCTGAGGGAACCCCTGCGAGGGGAAAGGCTGCGGGTAGAAGGAGAGTCAGAGGAGCTCATATCTCGCCTTAGCTGACATCTTTGATTTTTATCTTTTCACTTATAAAAGCTGTGGCTGAATAAACTGCAGAACAGCAGGACTTAATCCCACTGCTGTCCCCCACTAAGACACTATGGTGTGAAGTGTTCCACATCCATATTGGAGTGATTGCTGAGCCCACCTGGATGTGGCTGTGGGTGGAGGGCAGGGGACCACAAGGAACTGGAGCTTCCCTGTATCCATCACAGACCTTGGCAGGGAGTCAGGGAGAGACAGCGCGGGGATGCAACAGCTGCTCGGGGGATGCAGCAGGCTGCCAAGCTAGTAGCAAGCTTGGAGCAGTGAGGCTGGGCTTCTGGCAGGGAATTGCCAGCAACTTGTGCTGCAGTTTCTCTGAGGTTGCTGGAAAAGGGCCCAAACCACTCTCCTTTCTGGAAGAGCGAACAGCAAGCTAGAACCCATTTGTTCAATGCAGCTCTAATGCTGGGTACCACAACGGTGCAAAATCTTGCTTAGCTCGAGTCCTGTGTCAGTGCCAAGCTCCCTATGCTTGGCTTGCTCTCATCTTAATCTGGGGGATGGCTTCTTGCTAATGGATCAATGAATCGATAACCTCCTTCATTTATTTAAACATTACTACCTTTTCTATTTCTGTTAGCAAGCGCTGACACCAGCAGCATTAATTCTTGATGGGGTAGAAACAATGCCCTGTGCAGCCACAGCAGCACCATGGTCACACCAGCTGTGTCATCTGGTTTTCCATGACATGGCATATTTCTCCTATCATGTGTCATGGGAGTGTTGCTCAGCTCAAGGCACAGAAGACTTCTGTGCAACAGGGAGTATTTCTCTTCTTTTGTGATACATCTCAGATCCAAACTGGATTAAATCATGGTCTACGTCTAAAGCAAACTGTTTAGAACAGGTTCTCAGAGGAATTTACTTCTTAAAGAGAAATATTTGCATAGCATTTCAGGAGCAGCTTTTAATGAACTAGACACTTC